ACAAATTTAGCGGTACTGAATGCCGAATAATTACTTAATTTGGTGGTACACATGGCATTAGAAACATTCACAACTGCACGCACACCAAGAGATCAAGTCATGTACTGCGCAGTTCGACATCAATGTCGATTGCATCTAATTTCTTGATTTAAAATCAGTGATTTGATCCGACCCTGGATATTTCTGTCCCTCTCCACATAGTTATGAGTCGCGAGCACGAATTCACGTGACCACAGGGCTGCCAACCGTTTTGGTGGTTCTGCAATATGCTGCCTTTCATCTCCACGTGGACCGACTCGGCAGCAATAAGCGTGCATCGCCTGCACATATGATTCCAGCCCACTGGATGCGCATCTATTCCGCATACTTGACCTGAAAAATGTTTTGTGGTAAATATGCCGAAGTTTTATAACAAACTAACGGAATATATATGTGTTTCGTCAGTGATGACTTTGGGGCGCAATGTCGCAGCCTCAAGCCACCTAACTGTGATGGGCAAATGGCATCGCTCTCTGTAAATGCGAGGCTCCTCACACCCATCAATATCAGCCAAAAGCTGAGCAGGGCTCAGGCAAGATATTATCTAACCCACCTGAGCAAAATGTTCACAATGAGGCTGGAAAAAGTATCTTGCGTCCGGGAGACCGTGGCTGGCACATTTCCATTCACGACATCAAACGCCGGACAATATCGTTTGTTGAGAATCCTGTTCATTCGGCGTTAACATATGTGGGTGGCATTCAAGTTCTGGCGACGCGGCTCTGTTCTCAACCACGGGTGCATGGGAAAATCCATGCACTGCTTCTCAAGGATATCTATACACATTATGACCGCATTCTATTAGCAAATTTTTAGGTGCACGTGTATGGCGCTCCCCTTGTGCACTACCAGCTCTAAGCACGACCATCAATAGCTGTGGAGCTAAGTGAAAAACGGGTTTCGACGGCCAAAGACCCCCATGGAACTCAGGCAGAAAATTTAGCGGATCAAACGTGCATCGCAAAGGGAAAAGATCATTGGGCGAATGCAGGCTTGGTTTTTACGTTTACGTTTCTACTTTTACGTTTTTACGCGTAAAAACGTAAATTTGCAAAAGACCCTATTTTTACGGCTATTTTTACGTTTTTACGGCTCCCTTGGACGGCAGATTACGTGATAAAAGCTGCGTACAATGATCAGTCTTCCGCCATATCCAGCACCCGCATCATAGTGTCCACCTCGCCCTTGGCAAGGGCGACGATGGTATTTGACAAGAACTCGTTTTCTGCCCCTTCCAGGGCGTCTGGCTGCCACTCTCCGGGCTCCGTAAGTCTGTATGTACTGTCCTTATGTACACCGGGCAGTTTTTACGTTGTATTTACGTATTTTTACGAATTTTTACGCGTAAAAACGTAAAAACTGTTTTTACGCGTAAAAACGTAAATACGATCAGTTTTTACGGCGTAAAAACCAAGCCTGGGCGAATGTAACCCATCTGTTGTGAAATGCTGATATAAGGTCACTCGATGTATACTTTCGTTCCATCTAGTTGCCTTGTCGTTGGAGCATAGCGATTGGGCATCTAGAATTTTGGATCCCCAATAGTAGAAGCCTAAGACTAGAAAGCACCTGCCTTAAAGAGACCGCAGCAACTGCGGATTGGTGTCGGAGACTTTGGGCCAACAGAAATGTCAACGAATCACATAATGCGCTTCGGATCCTTGGAACTTGTTGCTCTTGCAGCGCCGGGGTACTCGCCGTCAGTTTTGCGGTTGAGCCTGAAATATGTCAGCATCGATCAAAGCACAAAACGCATCATTTGCGCAGATCACCCCTCATCGCAATTGGCTACAACGCTCTGGAATCGTGAAAATTTCCTGGGAGCCGTGCGTTGTACGAGACCGACCAGTCAGGCGCACTGCGCCAAACGTTGCACCCGCTCCCGCACCGGGAGAGAATCCCAGTGAAAATCGAGCCGTCTTAACTGATCCGAAACGATCCGGTCGACTCGAAAGGGTCCTATAAAACAGCCCATAATTCTTTTTCAGAAATTGCCTGCGGCAGGCTATTCCTTTTTGTCCTCTTCCTCTGTTGGGTCCTGAGGAACCAATTTCCCTTCAGCTTCTGCCAAGTAGTATATCGCCAGTCCGTGAACGATTCCATCCTTGGACACGGCGCCACTCTCTAGCATGGCCGACAAAACATCTCTATCGGTGATCCCCTGGGCTTCTGGCTTGGGCACGGCTTCCACCGCAGCGGCCACAAATGCCTCCTCTTCGGCCTCGTCAATTTCCTCCTCCTCCTGAGAAACAGAAAAATAGGCGGTCATGAGGAATCAACATTTTTGTCAAACTTTTAAAGTAAAATAGAGACGTCACACCCTGCATTATTCAGCCTACGCAATCACCATTTCGCCATGAACAACCGTTTATCGCCAATTAGTCGTCCATTGTTGGGTGTGGTACAACGTTCACAGCGTGATTGGGCATCGCTACATAAAAACAAATCACTTCGGCACAAGAAATGCTGTCAACCGGACGGCGCAAGCGAGCCCCGCTTATTGGCACATAAACTGGCAACGACGCAGCTTCGTGTCCAGGTGACAAAAGCTCCTCGTGCTTGTCTCATCATTATATGCTTCATCCCTCAAAACGTGGACGCGCTCCGATCGCTCGGATGCACTGCGCACGGAGCATGATGAAATTTCATCATGTTTAGACAGACTCCGCCGTTGGGAACTTCCGTCTACCTTTCCGCTGCGGAACTCCGCCTTGGCCTCTTCCAGCACCTTGGCCTTGGCCTCCTCCCAAGCCGCCGTGCACGCTTCCTCCGCCTTCGCCTGTAGCTCCGACCTTACGCCGTCGACGACCTCGGGGGGCGCCACCGGCTCCGGGAGTTCGCGCAGAATCAGGGAAGCCTTTCTTTCGATGCCTTCTCGAATGTCCTCTTGGAGTTTTGCCATGGCGGCCGCTTCCTGCGAGGCGGCATGAGGCAGCATTGGGGAATTTATGGGCTGATGACATTGTTTTTATAATAGCGTGTCTTACATTCAATATCCAGATTGGAAGAGCTAGTGAAGATCGCACTTTAAATCTATTGCCTCGAGCAAGACCATGCCTTCGATTAGATAGTGAAAAAAAATCTGCCGCCATCCATAGATAGAGCAATGCACTCCTAAATGGAAGTGCGCAGTCCGATCCTCGGGCCAAATCAGTCCACAAAATACTCCATAGGAGTTCAGGAGAAGTTATTCGCAACTTCGCGCATATTCCAAGATTTTCATACAATGTCCAGGCTTGGTTTTTACGCCGTAAAAACTGATCGTATTTGTGTTTTTACGCGTAAAAATAGTTTTTACGTTTTAACGCGTAAAAATGCGTAAAAATACGTAAATACAACGTAAAAACTGCCTGGTGTACATAAGGACAGTACATACGGATTTACAGACTCCGGAGAGTGGCAGCCAGACGCCTTAGAAGAGGCAGAAGATGAATTTTTGTTAAACGCCATTATCACCCTTGCCAAGGGCGAGGTGGACATTGTGTTGCGGGTGCTGGAGATGGCGGAGGACTGATCATTGTACGCAACTTTTATCGTGTAATCTACGTGTGCCAGGGAGCCGTAAAAACGTAAAAATAGCCGTAAAAATAGGCCCTTTTGCAAATTTACGTTTTTACGCGTAAAAACGTAAAAGTAAAAACGTAAACGTAAACGTAAAAACCAAGCCTGAAAATGTCAAAACACCCATCGACACTCCTCCCCACCGAGCACCCAGATGCACATGTTGCCATTCCTGCACCCGCTTTTGTAACCAGCAAAACCAAGTGATAGAAAATGAATGCGCACATCCAGGAGCACTGTGCAACTTGTGTGCCAAGCACAATTGGGCGGGCGTGATGTGGGGGATGAGGAAGTGCACGCACTCGCGCGGCGTGCTCTTCCAGAGCCTTCCTCTGCCGCTCCTCCTTTTCCTGCGCCTCCCTTATCTGAGCCTCGCGGAGATCCTTCGCTTCCTTCACCAGGGACACCACCAGCTGCCGCATCAGTATATCGTTTCTAATCTTCTTGAGGGTCTCGTCCTTGAGCCAAGGCATAAAGACGTTCTCTACCTCCCTCTCGACGGGGTCGTAGAAGAACCCCTTGCGCTCAAGGCGGTCGAAGACGGTGGTCACGATGCCGTTGAGGTACCCCCTAGCGAAGGTGCTCGCAGCCACCTTTTCTCGGACCACGCGCTCCCTCTCCAACCTCTCGCGCTCCTGGAGAAATAATATGATGTAGTAAATGGAGCAATTCGCTACCAGAAAGGCAGCATCACGTAGACACGTGTAAAAAAACCTAACATAGCAAACTGGACAGAAATGAAGCTAGAAATTTAAGGCGATGCCCTCGTGTGAATATGAATGCAAATGTCCACATGAAGACGGAGATTCAGATTCAGCTGTGAGACTGCGGAGTAGTTTCTAGTTTGGCTACCAGAACAACTGTACATATGCCCTGCACGTCAATCTTAGCATGGCGGAATCAAGGAAACAGAATGGTGCTCAAAAGGAACTCTATCTATGCCAAGGTGAAGACACTGGTGCCGCATTTATTCTCTGACACAGGCAGAAGCGAATCCAGAAACAAGATTGTGACTGAGCTATCTGCTTGCTCCAAAGCCTCCAGCTTTACAGATGCAATAATAGGCCTAAAAAGGCAGCTGCAGATCCAAATATTGAACTTATATACCCCTATGTAGTCAGCCGCCAATCTCTCCGTATCATGTTCACGTACTTAAGCAAATGGACTCATCATTCTTCTTTCACTGCCTGTTGTTTCTTGTCTCATTTTAGACAGCGGACCATGTGCTACTTCCGCAATTTTATGAGGCCTGGACCCGAGAATGTGTGTTTCCCCAACCTGCGCCAGTCGCCTCTCCTTCTCCTCCATCTTGCGAATCTCCGCGGCCTCCATGCGCTGCGTGGCCACAAGCTCTGCATTCCGGATCTGTTCAAAATGCTCCTGGTGGGCCCGCATCTCTGCCAGCTCCTCCTCCTCAAGGACCTCCATGTATCCCTGCTCCAGCGTCTTGCCCACAAGGACCTCCAGGATGGGCTCAACTTCGAAATTGAAGTCGAACAGGTCACCTTCGCAGGATGCAGAATGGAGGGGATGGTAAAACGGCGCTGAAGTGATTAGTGTAAATGATGTGAAGCCTTTTTTGGATGACATTGATCCAGGTGTCACAGTGATTCGGCATCATGTTGACATCCATCGCGACACGTTGCCCCGGAAAGAACCTGTGTGTTATATTTCCCTGTGATTACACATGTTGTGGTGTTTGCACAATATTGCTACCTTCCACAGCCACATGCGCAACAGAGACGAAATGCCTAAATTTGCAATAATTTGAGTAAGAAAGTACATCCCGATTGAGCCCAGTGCATCCGATGCCCAATTCGGGTGCTGGAAGTACCAATGACGTAACATACGTATAACTTGTTTTGGTTTCAGCGTTGAGCACCAGCGCTGATGGCCTGACTCACCTGGTTCTATCTGCGTTGTGGCATCCATTCCCCGCTTCTGCGGGACAAACAGCGGCGTGGGGGGCCTGTCCATGAAGGGGTCCGTTTGCGTGGAGATTTCCGTCTCTGGAACAACGTCCGTGAGCTCCTCAAGGTATGCGTCCGTCTGTATGTCCGTGTGCCTGCGACCTTCAACCGGCTCCGGTGTCGCCAACACTACCCTCTGGGTGGCCTTCTTGCCGCGCCTTCATCAAACAGTGATGTCGGATTATTGGCGTTAGTTTTTGTGTTGAAATGCCCCCGAGGACGAGCTGCGCCCATGATTGTGGGTTTGCAAGATGGCGTGACTGCCTGATTGCGTGACACTGCCATGCATTTTGCTCTTCTATTGCGTGGTGCATGGTAATTGGGCAGGGCTTGGGAGCGAATAACACGGACGCGAATAGTGCCAATAGGGATTTTCTATGCCGTCAGCGCGATTTTTGGGATGGACTCAAAGTGCATTGCTTTGCGCGTTGGCCATTTGGGAGATATTTAATGCGCCTGACCTCAGCGATGAGCTGCCGCAGCCTCTTTTCGCCCAAGATGATGAGCCACTTTTCACAGCAGATTGTTCTTGATGTTGTGTAGAGCATTTAGATTAACTTTCTCCATTTTCCCCGTAAATGCTTGGAATAGGAGATTGCTAAGAATCTTTGCGTCAGGTGGCTTCCATTGATGCAGAAATATCCAGGGTAAGCAGGCAACACTCCCATGCAACTGTCCGGATGTTGAAATTGCTGGACAACTGTACGACAGTGCCAAGAGTGTCAATAGCGCAGATGACGTTTTGGCACTGTTCATGCTTCCATGCTGTCATGCCCAAAATTTGGCTTAGGCAACCCACCACCTTGACGACGGGGCAAAGGCACTGCCCGAGCAGTTTTCATTGCAAGAGCGGCCAACATCATGCACTATTGTTGTCCGACGGCCGCAAAATTAGTGGAGAGTTCCTGGATTTAATAAATTATGCGGGACAAGGTGTGCGGCGGTGCTTCCAGCGGTTGCTCATACAGGTGCTATGTACGTTGTCTTTTTGGCTGAGGAATCCAGTATGTGCGGCTCCGCTGCCAGGATCTGGGCGGCGTAGGTGTTCCCCCGGACGACACGGCGGTCGAACATGATGTTGGAGGGGTATCCGTAGCCATCTGGCTGATCCCGGTACTGCAAAGGCATCCAACGCTTTAATCCATCAAGTTTCCATCGTTTCATCACATTCGACCAATCAATTTTATACGCAGAACAAGCCTTCAATCGCTCAGAGCTGCATTTGACTTCAGTGCTGTTTTGCGATACACACAATGTATCTGCAATCCAACGCACCCAAAATGTACAATGCTGACAATTAGCGCAGCACAAGCAGCTCAAAACCAACCACCGGCGGAGATATCAAATGCTATCCACAATGGACGAGGAAGCGAGACAGCAGGGATTGAGTCGACTTCTGACTGACGCTCATAACGCCGGAATATCCATTAGAAATAATTGCAGCACACAACCAATGCTTGCAAACACTTCCTAAAAGAGCTTCTCCAAATATATCCTTTCGCAGCACTCCTTCAGGTACAGTTGCCCGCTTCGGCAACGCGAGTAGCCCTGGCGACACCCGCACCCCGTCAGACGCCTAACGAGCCCTCTACCGCACAAGCCTAAAAGCTTCCCCAACCTCCGCCCATTTTCTAAAACACACCTTCGCGCCCTTTCCCGACTTGGAAGCCTGGCCCTGTGGCTGCTGCTCCGCCCTCGTGGCCACCATCTCGATCGGCCCTGCCCGCGTGCCGCGCCCGCGTTCCCGTGCGGTCCCGAGCGACCCTCCAGCGCCCGCGTTTGTCGGAAGGCCGCGGCCAGAAGCGGCCGCTCGTCCGAAGACGGCGGAGGGCGGGTCAACTGAGAGTCAGTCGCGTCTAATCGCGCCGGGAAGGAGCGGAGGGGCCTAAGCCCTCGGAATGGGCCGAGCGCGCGGGGCGCTGAAGCCGGATTGCCGGGTCGCGCAAGAAAAGGGGCGCTTTAGTTAAGAACTGTTTCTTTTGGCTGATTCCGCTGTAGATTGATCCTCAAACGCTCAAAAAAATTGCATCGAGAGGCGTTGCGCAATCTGATCCGGTTTGCGCCTGTACTGATTTGCGTTGCGATACTGTCAGTATTTTTACAATTATGACAGGGTTTCGGTATCCAGTTAGCGACACAAGATATTCACCATTTATTTACAGCTTAAGTGCAGCATGCCACGCAGGCAGTTACGAGTTATGCACAAGCTGAAAAGTGATCGCCCTTCTTATGTAAAGTCAGCCATGTATTCAGTGCATTCGAGCCAATGGGAGGATCCGCTCGTTCATTTCGGAATTCCATTGAAGCAAATTCAGTGGGGGAGCCCGCACGCCCTGGCCAGAGCATCCAGGATAGTGAACCACCAGTAACAGCTCTGTAGCGGTAGCGCAGTTGTGCGATTGCCAGATGCATTTCCATTGCTCACACCAATTCGCTGATTTTGCTTAAGACTTTCCTGGACGTTGGAAGGAGTCCCAGGACCATGTCGTGCCCGGAAACCATTGCGTTCATGCTCCGCAACGAATGTGCACCCAATACACCTCGTCACTGCCACGCAGTTAATGTCCGTTCAGCGATCATGCCGTAGCGGCAAATCGGAAGCCATAACCTGGCACAGTGGGACTGAAACCTATGGTGTTGAAGAATCGTACAATCGTAAATTTGTTCGCTGCCAAGGAAAGGGGTGTTTTGAGGAGTGGGTGGGTGGAGGGCGGGTCGGTTTGGGGTCCCCAACAAGTTGTTGCCAACAATGGATCCAATTTCACGTTGGCGTCCAATCAATGCTCTAGGCTTTGACCTCAACCCGTGGTTTATGCAGCAGTCAGTGCACCCTAAACCCAACGCAAATCTCTCCGAAATCCCAGAAACAGGTACGTACCCGACAGAAGAAGTATTCTTCTTCTGTCCCAACTTAAATGACGCAAATATTTTCAGCACTATGTTTTCACAATAACATTACTTCCATTTTCCCTAAAAATTTATGCACAGCGAGAAAACCGAGAAAAATTACGGTTTCAAAATTTCAGATGAATGCGCTTACTACAACGTAATTGGGGTCAGTTTTTAACCGTGTCACTCACCCCCGGGAAACCCCGATAATCCACAGCCTCCGGGCACCGGCGTTTTCCGATACGGTGAGGGCCGCCCCTTTGAGAGGGCGAAGTGCTGCCGTTCGAGAAGATCTGAGAACGCAAATCAGACTGAAGGTCGGTGCATTCATTCCTACGCCCCAGGGAGGGGCAAAGTCTCTTCCGAACGGCCTGATCGACCATGTGTGTGGCGTGATCGGTGTCCCGGAGGCTGTGGATTATCCGTGTTTACTGGGTGAGTGGTGTGGATGAAAACTGGATACAATTATGTTGTACTTAGTGGATTCATCTGAACTTTTTTAGCATATTATGTACTTAGGTGCCTCTCTTTGAGTAAATTTTCATGAAAACGGAAGTAATCTTATGGTGAAAACACAGTGCTGAAAACAACTGGGTCATTTAACTCGGGGCAGAGGAAGTAAATGGAGAAAATAAGCATATGACGAAATGAGTTCCCTTGACAGGTTGGTGTGGGGATGGGGCGCTGGAATGGTACTATGGGAGGATCGAGGGAAGGCTGTGAAGGAATGAGAGTGGGGCGAATAGTTAGTGCGGCAGATGGAGGGAGCTGCGGTAGAGGCGGTAGAGGAGGGAGTGAGGAAGTGGTATTAGTTGTGGGATCAGAATAGTCATGGGAAGGTCGTGGGATTTCATTCGGGGAATTGCCGAGCCAGAATAGCTGGGGTGGCAGGTGGAATGTTCCTCTGGGTTGGCAGCCTTCGGACAGATTTGCATTTGATGAAAAACGCGTGAGGTGATCGATGTACACAAGTAGCACGTTGTGTAAGTGCCAATCGGGGTTCATGCCGGAGCCATCGACGACGAAGGCTAGGGTTAACGTGTGTGTGACTGCGCCACACGGGGCACCCTCCGAGGGGCCGTGCTGCAATCTGTTTGCACCGGCGTAACAGTTGGCAACAGCGTTACAATTTCGCCGTTGCCCCTGTCACCCCACATTCGCGCAACTCCTCGGTGCTGACTAGCCTCCAGCCCTCGCGCCAAACCCGCAAGACACCCTCCCGCCCCGCCCTTCCAGACCTTTCACCGAGGCCCTTGGCCGGCCAGCAACTCCCCCCCCGCCCGCGCGCTGGCGCTCCGCCTTCGCCCCCTTTCCCCGCGCCTGCCAATCGCATCGGCGGCATGTCGGTCTCCAGGAGCCGTCTGGCGGAAGAGCGCAAGGCGTGGCGCAAGGACAAGCCCTTCGGCTTCCACGCCAGGCCGGAGACGAATCCCGATGGGTGCGCAAAGGGCTGAGAGATGGGGAGAATCGCCCTGTGGGGTGGGGTGGGGCGGGGGCAAAATTTGTCGAAAAGAGAAGGAGGAGCAGGCCGTGCGAATGGCACCTCCTCTTGAGCAAGTGTGGTTGAGATTCATTTCCGTATTGCGGAAAAGATGATGTGGAGTCTGCGGTGCACCAAGAGAAGCGCACAAAATAAGCACCAGAAAATGCAAGAGGGGAGGGTTGGGGCTGCGTGTTTAAGATGTGTTACAAATCCAAGAAAGTATGTTAAAATAGGAAGAGCACCCATTCCAAGGCAAATGAGTGTAAGGCATGTGAGTGTGAGGCGGAAGGGGGGAGCAAGGGGTTGTTGTGATGTGGGCATGGCCTGGGGTCGGTGGCCACGTGGGCGCAGGTCGTCGAACTTGCTGCGGTGGAAGTGCCACATTCCGGGGCGGCCCAACACGCTGTGGGAGGGCGGGTTCTACCCCATGACGATGGAGTTCCCTGAGGAATACCCCACCAAGCCGCCCAAGGTGGGTGCTGGGAGCTGTGGTGGGTTGGTGGCAGCGAAAAGTGGTGGGCGATGGGTGCCCTGGTGTTCAATTGGTGTTGGCAGTGGTTTTTGATTAAAACTGCCTGAGCCTGGTGAACCCGAGGCTCCGAAAGCAAACCTGGGGAGAGGCCACGGCGCCCGCTCATTCTCCACGAAAGCAAGAATTATTGCGAGGCGCTCTTCCTTATTGCAGGGGCTGCCCTGTGAAACATGGCGAGGGGGGTGGTGGGACCATGGCTGTGTGTTTTCAATCTGCATTCTGAGAGTTCTCCTTCATGGCTCACTGTGTGGAATAGAACTTCACTATCCAATATGCTCAGGATGGGGTTGCCTGGTTTTGGGCATGTTTCACAGCAAGTTCTTGGATAGTGGAGCCAATGGGCGGCTTGAGTGTCAGAAGAAAAGGAATATTGCTGGGATGGGTCCTATCCCACTGATCAAGAATTAATTTGACACTCTTCCATACCAGTGGACATTCTCCGCAGTTCTGAGGACCAGCAGCTTAGCCATTGTTGCAGTTCAGGGTTGCAGATATTGGATAGGCAAGGACGTCAGTCAAACAACGGTGATGAGCCTCCACACCTCGGGCTGTTTCTATTGTGCCTGTTCTTAGTCCTGGTGAAACCCACAAACGCAGCAGGGGTTGTAGAGGACCAAAAACACGGAGTCTGGACAGTGCGATGGACGACTCCATTGTGGGCATTTGTCTTGTCTCTTTGCCTCCCTGGAAAGACGTATGGTCGCGGAGAGGAGAGCAAGGGCATTGTAACAACAACAATGGCCACATCCCTCCAGTGCAGGTTGTTTGGGGTTATTTTATCCGCATTCAAAGGTCACATGAGAGTCACCCAGACAGGTGGAAGACTCATTTGCCACCATACGTCCAAGGCTTGCCCCCCTTCCCCCCCACCCACCCCCACCCCCCACCCCAGGCCAACACCCCCTCTTTCTCTTCAAAGATTGACAGTACGAGCCCCAACAAGGGAATGAGATTCACAGCTGTGGGCACAGTGGTACATTTGTCAGCTTGGGTAAGAACAGCAGCACTTGCCCCACGTACAGGAAGGGTTTGCAGTGTAGTTTGTGGGATGGGGTGGAGGGTGGGATTTTCCCACCCCCGGCCCACCCCCGTGCCTCAGGCCCTGACACAATCTGACTTTTATTTGGACCCCTAGCAGAGCCAGACATCTCTTGAGATCCCACAGAGTGCAGGCAGTGGGCTTGGGAATTGTTATGGGCCCTGTTTGCCAGTATTTTCGAGGCTGCAGACCTTACATGCAGCTACTAAGGCAATTCAGCAGGCTGCCTGGCAACTCATACAGTTTTTGTCCGTAAAAGCCAGCAGGCCTGGTTCATTTCAGTGAAGGGAAAAGATGCCTTTTCCAAACCAACAATATGGTGCCTGAAGAGTTGGGGAACATACAGGATGGTGGGCATGGGATCAGACGACTTCGGCTTGCTGGTGGGGTACGCGGACCTCACGAAATGCTTGTGCTTGTTGAACAATAAATCCACCATCGTATCCTTCTTGCCGCTGCCTGCAACAACCCCTGGCAGCTGACTTGCATCGCTGCTTGGCTTCATCTGCAGTGCAAATTCGCGCAAGGTTTCTTTCACCCAAACGTGTACCCCTCTGGCACCGTCTGCCTCAGCATCATCAATGAGGTAGGCAGCCCTGGCATGCCCCAGGCGTTGTTGCATGCTGTTGTGATGTTTCCTTTGATGACAAAATGATGCTCAGATCGTGGCACTTGTCTTTGCTGGGTTCAGCTATCTGACAGCATCAGTTGTGCACACAAATGCACCTCCAGTTTTTCGTACAGAGCACCACTGCTGTCTCTGTCCCATCTCCCATTGGTATGAATAGCAAACACGATTCCATGGTATGTACAACTTCTTTGACTGCATGCATCTTTGACTGATGGAACACAACATTACACCTGCAAGTCCATATCAGGCATGAGCGCACATGCACATTGCCAAAAATGTGAATGTCATGATTTCCAGGGTCCAGACTTTGTAGTCTTTAAGGGGAGATGAGATTCCAGCTCGCGGATCTTTTGGTTTCTTCCTGTACATCATGATGATATGCTGCTGCTTGTGTTTGGGCCTGCCATAATGCATGACCACAAACCACATTTGGTGGTGGTAAGCATAATAAGTTGTCTAATCAACCAAGGGCGCACAATGCAGCCTACCCAGCCCCGGATTTTGCAGTGTAACATTGCTCTGTGAGCCTCCTCTAGTTTCCATTCAGGCTGTGAGTGCTCTAAATGTCTCTTCCACACGCAGGAGGAGGGCTGGAGGCCATCCATCACAGTGAAGCAGGTGTTGTTGGGGATTCAGGTACGTCAAGTTGTTGCAAGCGTGGTGCTTGTAACTGACCTCTTTTTGGCTGCAAGGCTGAACCCGCAATCAAACACAGGGTGTGTGGCAGCATACTGCTTACTTTAGAATGATACTTTAGATGCTTCATGAACACAGATACCAACATCAGGCAAAGAGAATGCATGTTATGCTTTGCTTTGAGCATTTTTAGGCCTGGGTTGCGTGATGAAGACCACTCTGCCACCCTCTATCCCCCCCCTTGTGAGCGGCAGGTTCTGACCAGTTTCACAGTACTGAACCTGGAGGGTGACTGGAAACTCCCCACCAGGCCACCCTTCTGTCAGCAACAGTGTGCATCAACACAAGCAACCGTTGCCTGATGCAGTATGTGCTTGTGTACGAGGGGTGATACTAGGGGCAATTTTTTAATGCTTACCACTACATTCATGCCAGGAGGGAAGGTGTCCATGGCTGTGACACCGCAAGGCTACTAGGCTGCGCAAAAAACTGTGAATTGTCTCACTCTCATGTGCCATCAACAATCTTTGAAAGCCGCAGTTTCTGTGGCTCTGAGTGAATGGGGGAAAAGGTCAGGCACATATGTTTGTCCAACCCACATAGCATGCCTGCTGCAGTGCTGCCATAACCAGTGCTGCAGCTGAAAGATTGGGGACGTCCTTTGCACTCGTGAAGAGTGCAGGGGTCAGAAGGGAAGCTGTGTCAAAGGAGCTGGTAAAGGGCTGAGACTGCCAGCAGGGCATGCACAAGTAAAGTTGTTGAGTTAGTTTTTGTCAGGCGGATATGCTGAGGGGGCAATACTTCGTGGTCAGTTGGAAGTGCAACGATATTCACCCTGCATGTTTGTCACTGTATAATCCACAAAAGTGGTGGCCCATTAAAGTAGCCACCACAACAGCCATTCAGTTTAGTTTTTCAATTTGTTTGAATGCAGTTGTCAATAGCCTGTTTCAATGACTTTCAATTGTCCATTCATTCTTGCCTGTCTCATTTTGTGCTCTCCTAAGACACTTTTATGCCGCGCTCTTAACAGCCACACTGTGCTGCTGCTTGTGTGCTCTCTGCTCCCTTGGTCGAATTTGATGATTCTCTTCTGTCTGTCTACATGCACGTGGACTACTTCCGCTGGACCTTGACAGACACCAGTGCCATGTGTTCTTTACTGCTGCCTGTAGCGAGTCTTTTCATCGAGACGCTTTTCACTGTGTGCAGGAACTTCTTGACACCCCCAACCCCGGCAGCCCTGCCCAGTCAGAGGCCTTTCTGCTGTACACCAACAACCGGGCGAAGTACAATCAGTGCGTAAAGGAGCAGGCCCACAGGTACCCACCTGGATGAACGAAGCCTGGAGTAGCCCCGGATGGCGAGGAGTGTGGAACATGCCGATTTGGCGGAGTTCGGTAGTGTACATGTGCTCCGTGTCCTTTTGAGCCATGGTCTGATTGAGGGACGCAATGCACATGGGCACTGACAGTTTGTGGGATTCGTTGGCTGCAGAGTTTGTGCGAATATCTGGCAGCTTGGGGGGAGTTGCTGGATGCCCGGTAGGGTGTCGTGAGTTATTGCCAAATCCCAACTGTAGTCGCCAACCTGTCAAGGTCAGTCTCATGACTGAAAGGGGAAAGCTCGCAGTGAAGTACAGATATTTGGATTGTGGTGTGGACGATTAGCAACGATATGCTAGTTGAGCAATGGGTGGGATGGGGTGTGTTTGTAGTGCATGTGTATGGAGATGTGCGCCAATTGGTGGGAGATTTTGCGACTCATGGTCTGCCACGCGCACTATTGGGCTGGTGGGCAATGGATCTTGCAGCATCGATCTTCAGCGTTGCGTTTCTTGTAACAAACGGCGAGCCTCCCACCGTTGTATCTTATGGCAAAGCGGTGGCTCTGATGCGTATCTTTGCCAGTGCCAGATGGGCCACAGTGCAAATCTGGAATTATTCGTGGCCCCACATAATGATCACCATTTCACAGGGTAGATCAGTTACTGTTATACAGTTAGTATGCAATTGGGAGACAACGGGTCATGTAAATGCTCAGAGGTATATCAAATACCCAGACACAGCGTTTACATTGTATATGGTAAATTGCTGCGTATGAGTGCCCAGGAAAGCCCACATTCCGCGGAGAAGGAAAAACTGGGGAAAGGCAAAACACTCCAGAAAACTGGCCAGGCTGAGCAAGCCTTCGAAGTGTACGTTTTGAAGGAGGCAGGAATGTAAGCAAAGGATGACGGGAAGATGCCCACCTGCTTCCTCACCAAATTTCTTGTGATCGTTGATCAGCTGCCCCCAGCTGATCGGGTTGAAGGAAATCTAGGGTTCTTTACCCTTCAGGGCTCAGGCAGCGGGTCCTCGCCCACGGCAATGCCCTGGTCCTTTGAGGACTGTTCAGGCCACCCACCTTGACGCGGGAGAGGAGGGGGGCCTGGGTGTATATGGTCTGTCGACTTGCGAGATACATAGGTTCTGTTGTGGCATGTGAGGTAGCTTGCAGGCGAGGTATCCGAAATGCACTCACATGCATCAGGCTCCCATGTTCTGTGTGGTTATTGCCATACGGCGGTGTGCACATACATCCTAAGAGTCCATGTGACATGCTTGGTTAACGTCCATCACTCCCCTCGAATGCACTTGCACGCCATCAAGCTATAACATGGAAGCAAGTCCTGACGTGCCTACCGTACACTATGGTGCGAGGTAGGCACCATATCGACCCATAAGGTAGGGGCCGTACGATAGGGGCCCTACCATAGGGCTGGTGCATCCCGCTGTTCCCATAAGCCACTGCACCTTCCAACCCGAACGGACTTTCCCTGCAACACAATAGATTGGTTGGCGAGGCTTTTGTGAAGGACATGAAACACTGCTGGACCGAGAGAAGAAAGCTTAATAAGGATTGGGGTTGGTTGGACAGCTTTGAGGGCACATGAATAAATCTCCACAAAATGGAGAACCCGGGGAATTGACCATCTACTCTTAGCATGGCATGTGGGCATGTCCCTGCTTTACAGGACTATCTTGCCTCAGGGACTTTCTTATATCATTCTCTGTAAATTCCCCCAGCTGCATAAATCTTGTTTGTGTGCTCCCCATTTTCTTCACTTTACGGCCTGCACGGGGTGTCCCTGTGCAAAGAATGCGTTAAAGCCAGGGCACTGGAAAATGCCACGAAGCAAAGAGTTTAAAGTCCAGTACTTCATGGCAAAAGCTCTGAAGAACACAAGTGGCGCATGGGGTGGTGAGTAGAACGATCGGCGCATGGGGCGCAGAGATGGGAGTAGAAATGGACTGGCTTGTGTCATGGCTATATTGAGAGCGATTTGTTGTGATTCAGAAGCTTTCGGTGGCATCTGTAGCCTCACAAGTGCCGTTCGATTGCGATTGTGCAGTAAATGCGTTCATGAGCTGCGATGTTGCATTGAGGTATGGCGAGTAATTCTCGTTTGGGAAATGTCATCAAAAAACATTTTTGTGCCTCAAGGCGTGACCACTGACACTGGTGCCGCGTGACGAGTGATAGATCGCTCGCCATGTTTCATGCAGATCTGCATGAAACATTCAGTGCATGGGGCTCCTGACATTAGAGCTGGTAGGCGAATAGGACAAATGTCACATCGATGGCGTGGGATCAGTTAGATGTGCTCATTTGCTGAGCGCTTGGAGAACACAAACGGAAACCCGTGTTGAAAGAAGGATTTCTAGCAAATACACTTGAAATCGACAGATTGTATACTCTGCATTCCTCTACATTCCCCTGCATTGTGGCGGGCTCTTGATTTTGGGAAGTTTGCAGCACACAAGGTGGCTTGTCCACCTGTGTGACCGCGCCACCCCGGGGTGGCGGATCAGGCACTACCCTTGGCAGTTTGGTGCAGAGCTTCAATCCAACACAGGTTATTCGCCCAGCTGAGGGGGCGATTCCCCCTTCGGGCTCGCAGGGCGCCGATTGTGAAGGCCCCTCACGCAATCACTGCGATGCTGGCTCCCATCGTGGCCGCGAAGGATTCGTGTGGTACAAGCACCAGGGGGCCCGGAGCCGCCCGTCTTACCCCGACCTTCATGTTGGACATATGTTTCGATGGCGATGAAACAAACAGGAGACCTGCAAGGTCCATACAAGGTCCGAAACCTCCTACAAGGTCTGCAACGTCTAACAAAGGATCGACCTTGAAATGAGAGAGTCTTCAGCAGAGGCACTGGCTAACCCGCGAGGCTTTGACTGTGGTTCCTCAAATAGCATATACAGTGGGCGATGACGAGCAAGGGATCCGAGTTCAGCACAAGAGAGAACAATTCATAGAGCAGCACCTGCAGTAATGAAACGCGCGTCAGGAGGAAGGGCTCCACTCTCCGCCGCCTTTGGCTCACACCAGCTCTGGAAGCATGGGTTGAAGATCTCCTATTTGCCTTTGCCCAAGATACAGGCCGAGATCACTAGCAAGAAAAGGACCAAATACCACTTTTTTTCGAGCACAGATGCATGTAATTCATCAGTGTTCTGCACACTAAAAACACGAAAATAACAGAAACCCGTAAACTTTGCACATGTTTGAACACGTGTTACTTGGACCTTCTTTTCCCTAGCGGATTCGCCAGCCAAATGCCAAAAGTGGGCGTCTACAACTGCCGGTGCAGTAATGTCGTGGCTCTCAAGCCATGGGATGGCGCTCAGCTCATGGTGTGACAAACAAACGATGAAAACAACAGCCAGGGGGTGGCGCGGCAGGGCTGTGTTGTCCCGGCGTATGTCGACAAGGCTCACTAGAAGGAAATGCAGTCGCTGCGATGCCAACTGCGATGCCATTTTGAGCAAAAGTGGCGCCATTACAGTGATTGCGATGGCATAAAAGTAGCTTCAACGGCATCGATTAATCTCAAATAGTATCACAGTTGGGATCGCAATAATGTTGTTTTCTACTGGTGGCTTTCATCAAGACGGCAACTTTGTACTGCATTTCGAAGAGGAACGGCAGAACACTTGCCAACTACCATGCTGCAGCTTCCCGCTAACCACAAAGTGTGCTCGTAAGGCGGCAACTTATCCGCAATTGCACCTCTCTAGTGGAAATGGCCATTTGTGTGACGTGTCCCGGCATGCGTCTGAACTGCACGCACACCGGGACACCGCCGGGACGTCGTTGGGGCACGCCCCGGCACGTACCCCAACTGAGCCGCTTTCTGGGATGCCATGGGGATGCTGACTGGGACGCTGGTCGAGGGGCAGATTGCGTCCCGGGAAACATCTAGCAAACGTCCCCGTAAGTCTCATTTATGGTCAATTTCTGGCCCCTGTTGGGACGCTTACTGGGACGCCACTGCAACGCACGGGACGCTTCTGGGACACGTCACCAAAATGGGTATTTCTTTAAGTGGGGGGAGCAAGCTTGTTCCCACCACCTTGTCGCGGATCTACACCTTCTGGTAACTTTTTACTATGCTTGCTTCACGGAGCGGCTGATGAGTTGGCAACATTAGTGCTGCATGCGACACTGAAACCACGGGCTCAGCTGGCGTACGTGGCACTTCTTTCACCAAGAGTCGACAGACACGCACACACTCTACACATCGGCGCGGTTGAGTGCCGTCACACCGGTTTGTGAATTGTCTTTCCTTACAATAAAATCAAGCCAAATATCTTGGGTTGAGGCGGGCGGGAGTGAAAAAACGATATAGCCACAGACTCGTTTCGCCATACTGAAGTCCAAAGTTCCCCGTTTGCAAGGATCCCCTTTAAACTGCGTTGCAAGCAGTGCAAAATTCAGCTCAGTTAGGTTCCTCAACTTTATCACCAAACCCGCCCTGAAACGAGGGTCGCTGGCCATAACAGATTTAGGAGTTGCGTCAAACACTTTCTCACTGAGCCATTGAACTCCCGGCTTGAGAAACGGCAGCGCCAGACCAACAAAATCCAATTGTGCCCAACACCAAGACCTTTGCTGGCCGTCCAAAAGTTCCCGCCCAATGGCCCTGATCCCAAACACATGCACCCCATTTCATTCCGTAAGTTCCGCATCAAACGTGCAACACCGTGACAGTTCAAAAGGCCCCGACGGGCCGCGTCCCTGGAGCACCGCCTTGCCCTCCCTGGCTCTTCCGTGCCGCTCCGAACTACCGGGCATGATGTCCATCCAATTCTGTGGCGGTGCCAGCCCTGCTGCAGGCACAGCGACAACTGCAACGCGGGGGAAAGGGCAGGCGGCGAGACAGCCGGCCGCGCTCAGCTGGCCCCTGTGGAAGCGCCAAGTCTGGGGATCGAACCTCCCGCGTGGAGCTGCGCCTCGACACGTAAGCCTCAACCGGGACTCAGCCAACGCCTGTCCCGTGAAACCCCCT